GAAAATCAAAGAGCCAGTTGTACCCAAAGTAACCCCCAAAAACTAAATAATATCATAAAAGCAAAAATCAACAAAACAAACACTTTTTAAATATGGAAAATCCATAAAACCAAAAGCTGATTTTTTTTTTTTTTTTTTAAGTAGTCTCCACGCCCAGTGTGGAGCCAGCATGGGGCTTGAACTCACAGCCCTGAGATCAAGAGCTGGACGCTTAGCCAACTGAGCCACCCAGGTGCCCCTAAAAGCTCTTTTAAGATTAATAAGATTGGGGGGCGCCTGGGTGGCTCAGTTGGTTAAGCGACTGCCTTCGGCTCAGGTCATGATCCTGGAGTCCCAGGATCGAGTCCCGCATCGGGCTCCCTGCTCGGCGGGGGGTCTGCTTCTCCCTCTGATCCTCTTCCCTCTCGTGCTCTCTCTCTCTCTCATTCTCTCTCTCAAATAAATAAATAATCTTTAAAAAAAAAAGATTAATAAAATTGATAAACCTTAAGCCAGGCCAAAGATTTGAATAAATACTGCTTAAGACTGAAAAGATACCTAACATCGTAAATCCTTAGGGAAAACCACAGTGAGGCAAGCACCACACAGTCATTACAATGGCTACAATCAAAATGGCTCACCACATTGATGAGGATATGGATTAATTGGAACTCTCCAGCACTGCTTTTTGGGAGAAATTTGGCAATTTCTTAGAAGTTAGACATGTACCTACCATATGACTCAGTTATTCTATTCCTTGATATTTATGCAAGAAAAACAAAAGCATGTGCCCACCCCAAGATTCTTACATGAGTGTTCGTAGCTGCTACTATTTGTAATAGCCAGAAACCGGAAGTAACTCAAATGTGTCTGAATGGGAGGATGGATAAACAAGTTGTGGCTTACCCACATAATGGAATACTCTCAGTAGTAAAAAGAAACCAGCTCCTGATACATACCTGGGAATCATCTCCAAATAATGATACTTGACGAAAGAAGCCAGACAAAAGAGTATGTTGTGTGATATAACTTACAATTCTTTTTTTATTATTATTATTTTATTTATTTGAGAGAGAGAGCACAAACGGGGAGAGCGAGAAGGAGAAGCAGACTGCCTGCTGAGCAGGGAGCTGGACATGGGCTCAATCCCAGGACCCTGGGATCATGACCTGAGCCAAAGGAAGACGCTTAACCAACTGGGCCACCCAGGTGCCCCAACTTAACATACAGTTCTAGAAGTTGCATAGTAATGGATAGACAGAACTCATTCCAGTGGTCACCTGTGAATGGGGGTAGGAAGAGAGCGGGGTGAGGAGGAAGGGGGTACAGGGGCACAAGGAAACTTGGGGGGTCATGGTAATGTTCATTTTCTTGATTACTGTGGTTTCACAGGTGTTTATATATGTAAGGACCATTCAGATTGCATTCTTCAGGTATCTTCAGCTTATTGTACCTGGTTATACTTCAGTACAGCTGTAAATGCTGTTAAAAGAATCAGTGGAGTTTATATTTGTACCTCCCATTGAATCACAGGCAGTTAGGAGAGTAACCATGCGGTGAGGCACGAGTATTTGGTTAATTTGAGTTTTAGTCAGGTGTTGTAGTGCACACATGGCATATCTTGCAGTAATCTGTTACTTGCTTCATCTGAGGCGTGAGTAGTAGAGGTTGCTGCCCTTGAGAAGACTAGCTTCATGCGGGCACATTGGTCAAGCGTTGAAAAGTTTTGACTTTGGTTCAGGATGTTGCCTACCCTCTCTCCATGGATCATCTGGTCTAGCTTCGTGGCTTTACATACCAAATGCACCGCTGATCCTGAATTCTGTATCCCACTGGAGCCTGTTCCCTGAGTGTCTTACTTGTGCAGAACAAGCCCACCACATTGCTTGGTTGTTTAACACAAACTTCGTATGTACAACATCTAAAGCAAACCCTTGGTTCTTGCCACTGCCCCAGCCTCTCTGGCTGTGTTTGGCACCCCTGTTGGTGGCCTGCCCACTGCCCGGGCAGTCGGACCTGTCCTCATCACATCCTTGGGTCCATTGGCAGGAGAATCCTGTGGCTCTGCCTTCAGCACTCCTGAGTCTGACCACTCTGTTCCTCCATGGCTCCTGCCAGTGCCTGGACCTGCCTGGAACAGCGTTACCTCTGCCAGACTTCATTTTTTACACAGTAAAGTTTCTTTTTAAGATGCCAGCTGGCTCACACCTGCCCTTCCGAGAAACCTTCGGTCTCTTCCCCTGGCTCACAGCCCGGGTGAGCAGCCCCCGCCTGCCCCCTTGCTCGGGCAGTGCCCCCCAGCCTTCATCTTGCCCTCCAGCATGCGCATGTCCACACTTGGTGCCTCTGCTTGCAGCTCCGTTTGTTTCTATTAGGCCTTAGCTTTTGGGCCTCAGCTTTGCCTCATCCCTATTAAAATGACGTCCCCTTTGTGGCTCTGCTCTGTACCCTTGCTGACTTGATTTTCTTCGTGGACTACTTACTACCATTGGATGGCAGGTGCTTATGTCTGAGTTTGCCTGTCTGATGTCTCTCTGGAGCCAGCAGGCCCTTTGGGCTATTCGCAGTTGCTTCTGTGATCTAACCTGTCAGGATGCCTGGCACAGCGTGTATTTCAAATGTTTATGGCAGAGGGCTTCCTCCTCTTAGGGCTCTTCCCTGCACTCGGTCCAGGGAAGACTTGTTTTCTGCCTTTTCTCCTCCGCTTGTCCCCAACATCTGCTTCCTTAGCAGTCTTGTCAGCTCTCTCTGCTCTCCCGCCCCATCTCATCTCTTCCCCACATACAGCCTCATGGCCCTGGTAGCACTTCCCCCTTCCCCTCTGGCCTCCTGCCCCAGGGCCTTTCTACCTGCTCTCAGGAATGTCCCTCTCCCGGGTACCTCTGCGGGTACCTGTGTGGCTTCTACCAGTCCCAGACATCAGGTGTCTCCTCGAGGAAGTTCTCACTGGCTATCCTAAATGGGAAGGCACTGTCCCCAACCCCAGACACTCCTGCCTGCTCTGTGGTTTTTTTCCTTCTCAGTGATCACTGTCTAATGTTTGATATTTTTTCCTTGTCTTATTAGTCTTTGTCTTTGACGGGGATATTAGTTCCCTGTGGGCAGGGAACTTTGTTTTAGTTATTGCTGTGTCCCCAGTGCCTGGACGAGTGCCTTGGCACATGGTGGCTCTCAATAAATACTGGACAGACGGGCTGACCGGTAGGCCGTTGGACAGATGATCTGGAGCTGAACTGGTTACCCTCAGGTCAGCTCTGACTCTTCTAATCTCTGGCTTGGAGACTTTGTAACCTTGAAGCCCAGCAGCTCCTTCTCTGAAAGATCTGAAGGCTGTGGCTGTTCTGTTGATGATGGGTGTTTGTTTTTCTAGGCCTAGGGACAAGAGATGGTTTTACGTAGGGTTAAATCAGTGTGCTTTTGGAAATTGTCTAATTTCTACATCTTAGATCTGTTGGGACAGAGAAAGACCGCTCCTCTCACGGTATTCGTGGTTTGAGGAGTAGTCTGGAGCTTTCTAGAATATCATTCACCGGGATATAGTACTCGCTTCCCTCACCTCACAGCCCAGACATTCAAATGGCTGCTGAGCTGGGTTTGGTTAAATCCATGGAAGCTGCAGATGTGACAGGTGTAAGCAGTTTTGGTCACTGGATTATAAAAGCAGATAAGAATGTATGTGCAAGTCGTCCTGGTGCTGTTATTCACTCTTCTAGTTACTCCTTTGTTCATTTATTCATTCAGCCCCACCCCCCCACCCCCGTGTAAGCACCTGACCACCTGCCAGCCATCCTGGGCTTGAGAGATGGAGCCTGGGGCCTCTTGGGAGTGCTCCTTCAGCTGTGGGGCACACTTGTAGTCCAGCTAACTAGCACAGCCAAAGACCTACGTGAGCCTTGGTACAGGAGAATAGGGAGAGAGCCGGGGGCCAAGGGAAGAGCTGGGCTGCTGGTTGGGCAGGACTGGGTAAGGTATTGGAGGAGCCCCTGAGTGGAACTGGAGACTTTGTAAAATACTTTGAGGTTCCAGCCTGAATAACCTTGGCATGGGTCCTGGTCCACCTTTGCACACGACATGTACCATGGCTGAGGACAGCAGCAGAGGCCTGGGGGATTTCTGTCACCTTGATCCCACATGTGCTCTGGCTTGGAACCTTGGCAGAGTTGTGCCCGCCTCTGGAAGGCCATGCCTGGCTTCCCTGCTCACCTGCTGCCCAGGTGAACCTCTCTTGAACCTCTCTTCAGGATTCGCAGGACGGTTCCTCTGTGCAGATGACCCATCTTGGGCTCACATGGATTTGGATTAAAGTTTTGGCCCCTGCTTGCTAACCTTGTGACTCCAGGCCTGTTTTAAATCTGTGGAACTTGTTTGTGTGCTTTTAAGGCTAATTTTCCTTTTCCAGTAGGGTGATCGATAATCTTTTGAAGAGAATCTAGGGTAATGATCTTGCCTCTTACCTATTTGAAAAAGCAGACCTTGAAATTGGGTAGCTGGAGATGAATTGAGCAGAACTGATGCTGGGCCGGAAGGGAGACAGGGTCTTGGATGTGTGGTGCCACCAGACTCCTGATGTTTATCTTGCTTCTAGAACTGGAACACCACCTCTGACGTGGTTGGGATCTGTACACACACACTTAAGCCAGAATAACTGCCTTGGGTGTGAGCCCTTGTGTGCATACACCTCTGGAATAACGGCTTTAAACTCTGCCGATCGTCAAGAGTCCTGGTGTCCTCCGTGTGAAAACTGAGATGGACACTTCTCCGCGTGTACGGGGAGTAATACAAATATCTGGACGAAGGGGCTAATTGGACAGTTTTCTCTTACTGAGATATTCTTTATGGCCCTTCTCTTTATTCAGAGTATTACGAGTTTCTAGTTTACTAGATACCGTTTTATTTAACAAATTCCCTATTTGATGCTTACGTAAACATACATGTACATTGTAATTTTAAAACTATATTTTTAAATGATCTTGGCTTTGTGGATCATGTTTTGAAAATAGAATTTTTTTTTTCTATTCCAGACTCCTTTTAATTTTGGCATGAATCATAGAACACCACCCTACCCCGCTGGGGATTATTGTCTTCTGTGCAGAAGTGAGCGGAAAGACTCTTCGTTCTTAGAGAGTGGAATTAAGACTGCGAGCAAATTGGCCCTCTCCATGGCTCCCAAGGGCAACAGCGTGCTGCACCTGCCACTGTGGGTGTGCCCGGACTGCCGGCGGACTGTGGAAAAGGAGGAGAGGCACAGCGGCCTCGACCAGCCATCGGTGAGTGCCCAGCACAGAGCACGTGGGCTTGTCGGCTTTCTTACCCTGTGGATTACACAGCTAAATGGACAGTGAAATAATTAATTTGGGTTTGCTTTCTGGAAGGAAACCGCTCTTGCACCATCTTCTGGTCCCTTGCTCCACTCTCTGGGGTCTTCCTCTTGGTGTTCTGTCCACACCTGCAGGAGGTAGTGGGGACCTGCCCTCCTTGGTCTCACAACTTGGTCAGCAAGCTTAGGGGACCCAAAGGATGTCTTTTGGCTTTTTTTAGTCTGGCCTCAAGATTTCTTTGGCAGTGCAGTTTGCTGGAAAGCTCAGAGGCTCTGAGAGTGTTTGGTCCTGGCCAGTTCCATGTGCTGGTATCTCACCTGAAATTTTTTCCCAGACGCACTTCCCAAGTCTGGGTTTCCCTACCCTGTTTTTTCTTGATTTCTTGCCTCAGCTGAATGGAGGCATTCTTAAGGTCCAGGCTTACATGGGAAGGCCATAGCCTTAGTCTGCTCTTTGACCCGGATGTGTGTTAGTGGCTGTGGGCCTGAAAGGGCTTGTGAGTCTGCTCTTTAGGTTCTAGAAGGACTTGGCTTTTGCAAGCACATGAGGCCCCACATTATAGGGCTTTTCTGTTCCTTTTATTTCTGCCTGTGAGCAGCTGTTTTCTGAGCTCTTGTCTTCTAATGCCTCACTACGCGCAGCCGCCAACACTGGCGTCCATCGCCAGCACGCTCTCTTGTGCCCTGGGAGCGCTGTCCGGGTGAGGTGTGCCGCCCTGGTGAATCAACGTCTCCTTCCTCTCCGGTCTCACCGGCCTCCCTCCCGCGGGCTGCTACGCTGGAGACTTGTGTTCCGGGGGTTCCTTAAAGCCGGTGCCCAAATCATGTGCCGGTGTCTGCACTGGGATTTGAACAGCTAAACCTTGGGATTACATCGTTTATTGGGATACAAATGGATTTCTCACCCCACCTCCTCTCGTGTGCCCCCTTCTCCTGTGTATTCACCTCAGCATGCACATTCAACTTCTTCATTTTGCTTGTCTCCTTCCCTGGAATAGACACTCCCAAGGGTGGCTGTTGTGTATTTTCTCACCAGAAGCAGTGCCTAGCCTGGCCTGTCTTAGGAAACCCGGTACTTGAGTTAATGAATGAATGAGCATGGAAGTGAATAAACGTGGAGCCCCTCAGTGGAATTAAGAAGATGGCATAGTCAGTCTGAAGTGTTTCACCCTCAGATCTTCTTGCTTTTATCGTTTGATTGTTTTGCTTTGTTTCCTTTCCGTGGCCTCTGAAAGCCTGTGATCTTTGCCCCGCTTTCACGGAAGGTGGCTGCGTGGCGCTGGCGCTCTGATTCCCCGCCCCAGCTTCCCGGCTTGTCCTCCCCGTGCGGCCCAGGTCCTCCGTTGCAGCCCGACCTGCCTGTACGAGAGCGGCCGCCGTTGTTAAGCCTGGCTTTGGAGGCAAGTGGAAATAGGCACGATTTCTTAGGCAGAAGTTGTCCTTCTGCCGTGGTGGCCTCATCCCGACTCCCCGCTTGTCCCGGATAACTCCTTGTCAGACTTGGCTTTCTCTCATCAAAGAAGTCACGCCGGGCGCCGCAGACGAGATGTTCGCCTGTGTTTGTAGACTTAGACCTTCTGCTACTTCTGTAAAGTTGGTGTCTTTGCTCAAGCTGGCTAACATTGCTGGCCTTTTTTAAAAAAATGCAATATAATTTACATCTAGTAAAATTCTTTTAAAGTGTATATATAGTTCAGTGAGTTTTGACAAATTTTACAGTTGCGTAACCACCACTACTGCAGTTAAGATGTAGAACATTTCCATCACCCCAAAAGTTCCCCAGTCACGTTGGTGATCCCCCCCCCCAGCCCCGCTTGTAACCACTGACCTGATTTTTGTCCCCACGTTTTGCTTTCTCTCGAGTGTCGCATAGACCCCTTCAACTGGGCATAATGCTTCTGAGAGCCACGCATCAGTAGTTTGTTCTCTATTGCTGGGTAAATTGTAAAGATGCACCACGCTTTGTTTTTCCACTCTCCGCTGATGGATGTTTGGGCTGTTTCCAGATTCGGACTGTTTTGCATAAAGCTGTGTGAAGCTTGGACAGGTCCTTCTCTGGACATTCTTTCTACACGTTGCTGGGCGATTTGCTTTTGTTGGCTAAGGACTTTTCGTCGGTGCTCATGAAGGATGTTTGCCTGAAGTCTTCTTGTCTTTAACGTCTTTCAAGGCCTCATAAGTTGAGATGTGTTCCTGCTTCATCTCTTTTTTGGAGAGTTTGTGTAGAATTGGTATTAGTTCTTCCTTAAGTGTTGTTGGTTCTTGCTTTCTGTTTCTCTCAAACGGTTTGGTGGGATGCCAAGCAGCACGTGGAAGAGATCGCAGGGCCTGGGGGTGCAGTTATTCAGCAGTCGTGCACCCCACGAACCTGGGGGGCTGGGTCAGTCTGGTCAGCACTGGAGCCGGCCTGGCTTTGCTCTTGTTGCCCCACACACTCATTTCTCTAGCGATGTGCGCTGCACCCTGGTGCTTGTGTGGGCCGGGGAGGGGTCTCCCTTCACATTCCCGCCCCCTTTGTGTGGTGGTGGGCCACCCTTATTCCCCTTCAGCATCAGCCTCCCACTGTGGTGTTTTCCCTGCCCGGCTACCCCTCTGCCCACCCCCATTCAGCCCGAACCTGGGGCATCAGGTGTAGCTCTCCCAGTGATCCGTACCCCCCGCCCCGATATAAGCTAGAGTCTGCCCATATCTCTAGGGGTCTTGGGTGGGACACACCCCCTGCCGCCTCCCCAGGGTGGCTGACCTACGTCTTTCTCCCACGGTGGAGAGCTTGGTTCCCTCCTGTCAGTGGATCAGGCCTGTGCCCCAGGTGGAGGGCACCTGCCGCCCCCACAGCAAAAGCTTCTTCCTCCCAGAGAAGGGTCGGCCCACAAGGTCACACTGGCCACACTCAACCTTAAAGGGCTCATTCCAAGTGTCATTGTTTTCTGACCCACTTCAAAGGCTGTGTTCCTTCCTCTGCCGAAGGTGAAGTGGTGCATGTGTCCCCTTGTCCTCAGAGGGGCTCCGTGCACTTGTCCAGCTCTCATGGTCGCCTGAGCTCTCTGATGGGCCCGGAGTTGGGAGTTTCTCATTGTCAGGGTAGGAGCTCTGAGTTACACAGTGGAAGTGGAACGGAATTGCTCTTTTTCTAGGTAAGCATTCAGGTATCACAGGTCGTGGTAGAATATCAGTAAAACTTTGCCCAGCACCCTGCCTTTACAGTTCAACACTGTAGACTTCCTCCATTCCTAGACCTTGTCATGCCTGGACACCCAGGAAGTCTTCCCTGCAGACATCCCGTTCACACTGGCAGGTCCTTCTGACTGCACTGTTCTCCTCGAACAGCCAGAGTGCCAGCACTCCGCGTCGCCATCACTTGCTTACAAAGCCCCGTGAGTCCTTTGCCTGGGACCCGGCTCAGCACTGCCCCTCCGTCCACCTGGTGGAGTGTTGCTGGGAACACCGCAGGCCTCGGCTCCCTGCTGCCCACTGACGTTGTGGTTCTGGGCTGGGGATGGGCATCTGGTGTGTTGCTCTGGCTTCGTAGCTGACCGCAAAAGGGCGTGAAGCTTCCCTTCTCCTTTCTTCCCAAACCCCACACACCCTCTTCGCCCTGCTCAGCTCAGCTGCTGCTGACCCTCACACTCCAGGGAGGGGATCGAAGTGGACACTCAGACCCTGGCCCCTCTACCGCTGCAGTCAGGGGAGGCCTGCCTCCCAGGGGCTTTCAGGGGCCTCTCCCGTTTGGGCTTCTCCAGGGCCTTGCTGCTCAGGTTAGTCTTTTCTCCTTACGCACCATAGATCTTGTCTTCTGTCCTGGCTCATGCCCAAGAGAGTGCAGATGCTCTAGAATTGTCTGTTCTTCAAATAACCTGCCTCTGGCCTCGCGGTCCCTCCCGGCTACCACCATCTCTCCCACTCCTGCCGTGCACATCTCTGGGGAAACAAACTCCTGGTTCATTTTCTTTCGTGGGTAAGAGGTTTTCCCTTTCTTTTCCAGTTAGTTTTGGTGAATTGAATTCTGAGAAATTGTTAAGAGTTCCTGGTATGAAATTGTGTGGAGGCCATGTCTCCACTTCTTATCGTACCTGCACGTACAAATCCTGGTCCCTTATCTTTGTGCTCTCTTTCTTTTTGTGAACCAGTCTTGCTAGAAAGTTCGTCAGTGTTATCTTTTCAAAGAAGGACTTTTTAACTTAAATCTCTCTCCTTTCTGTTCAATTGCTCCTGTTGTGTGTGTAGTAGACTTGATTAGTCAGTGCTGGGCACGTGCGGTAGGTGTTCAGCCGCCCAGCTTGTCTCCTCCTCACCCTGCGTCTTCCTGAGGCCTCCAGCGAGCAGATTCTTGTCCGTTCCTCCGGAGAAGTTCTCTTCCGTTCCTCCGGAGAAGTTCTCTTCCATTCTGTGTATTGAAGGCTGGCGATGGCAAACACCAGTGTCCTGCGTTGTAGACAGCTGTCAGTAAGTGGAGACATGGGGTCTCTCACCTCCTTGTCCTTGGAAGAAGGGTATGGACGCCGTGGCAAGGTGGGGTGCACGTGGTGGGGGTGCTGCCCGTTTCTAAGCCTCTTCTGAAGGCCATTGACGGTGTCTGGGGCACTTGTGGTGGGTGCCAACTGCTTCGGGAGTTGCATTCCTTGCTGATCTCACCTGGAGACCTTGTGGGAACCTGAGCCTGCTTGCGGGCAGGCAGGGAGATAGTCCTGTCCCACTTTCTGGCTTCCAGGCGAGGAGCCACTGGGCCATCACCATGCAGTTCCTGCTGGTTGTGACCACAAATCGGGTTTTTCCTTCTTTCTCTGTGGTTACTTTTCTGCCTTCCTGAGTTCTCACCCATCCGTTTTTATTATTCTGCTCTGATATGTGCTGGAAACTTCTGATTACTATACTAGATTTTGAAATGTTAGTTGCACTGGCTCAATTTTAAGTATTATCCAGTTTTCATTATTTCTGTTTTCAACCATGAAT